TTCTCCTTTACTTCCCCACTACCTTTCTTCTGTGGTGGGGGAAATTCATGCTTTCCAACAATTTTCTCAACTATCAGCCCTCCTCAGCCTCTCTTGATCACCTTGTCTCCATTTACGGATGATGTGGTAAGGGCTGAAAAACTAGTTTCATGGGCTTCTTAGTTTCGGTTCCCGTAGAAGCAAGAGGGGATATGAGTGAAAGATTAGTTAATGAGATAATCTCAAGAAACACAGATTGGAGAGAGGGAAAGAGAGACAGGGAAAAGAAGAAAGCCAGTGCAAGGTGTTTTTCAATACGGTTATCACTGTGGGCAAAAACTCTGGGAGTCAGTGTACAGTACAGATTTTAAACTTGTCCCAGAAGGGAGTGAGAGGGCTGGAGCGTTTACACACCCATCTATGTATAAATACACCATTTTCTACAATCTATCCAGCATAAACTGAGCGCTGCTCTGGGCGAGGGGTGTTCATTCCCTGGCGCTTCCAGCCTGCTATGAAGATGTGTAGGCAGAGCAGGCACCAACAGCCAGAAAAAAAAAAAAAAAAAAACATCCAGCAAGAAAGAGAGGTTCTGGCAGTTGGGAAGTCAGACCCATTTGCACTGAAGTGATAAGAGTGAGATGTGGTGATAGCTCCCTGGCTGTCATCCTTATCCTCTGTCAATGTGTAGCAACACCGTCTAACTCCAAGCAACAGGGAACATGGAAGTTAGTATTCTAACATAAATGCAATACTCTCAAAATGTCGTTCTCTTAGTCTCATCCTCTCCCAAAAGCATCTTGTATCCTTCTAGCTGGTCCCTAATTTTACCAGTCATCCGTATTTGCATTCCTGTTGTTCAGATAGCCTTTAATCCTGGTACTCAGATTCATTGCTCTCACTTTTTCTTTACCTGTATTCTCTATTACCATAGATTATCCTTGGAAATATCTTCTCTGATATATATCTTTGCATCTACTACATGGTCTGGCCCACAGTAAAGGCTCAACAAGTATTTCTGAAATAAATGAATTAATAAGCGAGATTCATTATTCTTTGCAATCAGGCATCTAGCGTATTTTCCATGACAATACCAAACACAAAATATGGCTGTGTATTATCTCTTCTAGGTTCCCTTGAGAGGTGCAGGTTCTCATTACCTGAAAGTGTGGATTAGTTTGAACCAGTGGTTTGTCATGGAAGAAATTCAACCTGACAACTCCCATTTGTCATAGTCACTGTATTTCCTGCAACTTTTAAAACTTTACTGAAGGTTTATGCCTATCACTTTCTATTTGGTAAGCATAGATTTCCAGGAGTTTTATGCATTATCTAAGACTAAGAAACTGCATTTCTGTCTCCCGCCACCTTGCCCCCCTCTTTCTCTCTGCCTCTCTCCCTTCTGTCTCTCAGCACACATACAATCATAGCAATTGAATTATGCTTTTTCATGTTGTTCTCTCTGCCAAGAATTTTATTTTACTCTCATCATTGTCTATACACCTCAATTGTTTTAGTAAACTATCTATTGAGGTAAAACACACAAATAGAAAAGTACACAAATCATGAAAACACAACTCGGCGAATTTTCACAAGTGAACACGTGTGCTCAATCAGTGCTCCTTTCCCAGTCTTGGGGAATCCAGCAGTGCACTCCAGGGCTCTTTCTGTTGAGGGCCCCTCACTCTTCTGGGAAGACCTGTGACAACCCCACTAAGGCTCTCTCTCCCATATAGTTTATGTCCAGGGTATGGAAATCCCCAGGGGACCCCCTTCCCTGGGGAAGGTCGATCTCTGGCCTCTGCTCTGCTTCGTCTTCCTATCATGGCATTTGTTTTCCCATTGTGAGTGCTATTAGCTGACCTTGTTGCTATCAACTATTGTTAGATCTCTGTCGATAAATGTATGTTACTTCCCTCGCTCTCTGAAGTTTGTAGACTGGAATTTGCTTGAAGGGATTCTGTTACACGAAGTAACTTCCCCATGAGCAGCCTTCACCTGTTCTTTGCATAGGACACTCTTACCTTTTCGGAAGGAAGTGCCACGATGTCTAACTCACGCTGTATTCCCTGTGCCTCAGATAGCGCTTGGTTCAGTGTCTATGTGCAAATAGTTGCTCAATTAACGTGGGATGAATATTTGCCTGGTTTGAAGGTTAGAGATTTTTGGTTTCTTCCTAATCTTTGAATGAGGGCAACTCTCTTAGCCAGACAGGTTTATGGAGAGTGTGCAGTGGCTTATTAGGTGAATACATAGCAAATTGGGCCAGCCAGTTGTATGAAAATGATGGTATTGTTTTGTAAGAGTGTTCTGCTAATTCTCTACAGTCCAGCCCAAAGAATCACCTATGAGCTTTAAATGTCTCCCCACAATGCATACATACATAGCTCCCCACAAACATCCAGTGAGTCTCATTCTATACAGTGGACCCTGATGAACAGCTGCCAAGCTGGGGGCCACTTCCTCTTGTGAATCCATACTGCCTGGGCTCCAAGCCAGTTCTCTAGAGCAGGGATGCAGGTCGTGAAAAGGAACAACCATAAAGATCAAGTCTTCAAACTATCTTTCCTTTAGCCCTCTGCCCCATGGGGACAGATAGGCCAAGTAGCCTATTTCAGGGATCTGTTCTCCTGTGACTACCACCACATTCCATTTCTCTATTATTTCAATAGGATCTTCTACTATGTTTTCAGAGAACACTATATCCTGCTGAAAATTTAAATGTTTCTGTAATTATTTTTGGCATCTTCCTCTGAATTAGTCTAAATTTATTTATCTTGAGCTAATATTCTCTATTGTCTTTAGTCACAGGCTTCAGCAATCACCAGTGTATCTAGTTGCAGGTCTCTTAATTTATACTCTGTTCTCCCATCCTCAGCAGACATCAGAGAGAAATGTCAGTAGATTTCAGGAGACAAAATGGAAATAAGTCATTGCTCCACCACCTTTTCCTGGGAGTCTTATTCTGTATTTTAAAACACCTTTTTAAATTACTAAGATGCTCTGACACAAATGTTCACACATTGCAACTAAATGCTACTTCCTTTGAAGCAGAAAGAAATAAAATAGGAAGAATAAACCACCAAATAAATAAATTTCATAAGCTGACCATTCTCAAAGGAGACTTTGGGGGGTGACGTTCTGTTATCCTCAGGCAAGCCAGTGGGACAATACCTAAATGAGTGCCTCAGAAGTGGTTGAGCAGTGAGCTTGTGAACTTTGAAACTCTTTTAGGCAACGTCTTGGCTTTGATTGCTACTCTGTCCATATTTATATCTTCTTGGGTTATGATTCTTTGTTCACTAACAGCAAATCAGAGACTGGAGAAAGAAGAAACTCAGTCAGCAACTAATCACACATTCTTTCTAAAGTCTAGAAAAGCTGCCAGAAAACCATTCTGGTGGATTTTGGAAGTGCTACTTCTCATGTCCCTTCCTGAGCCAACTTGTCATAGATGTTTCTGTGTCCTATGAAAAATTACTTGTCTGATGAAGGCCGAACGTATAAACAGGCCCAATATGGCATGCACGTATACCAACCCCCAACCATAGGATTGGTGAATGGCCATGGCACCATGTGGGCACATTCCCCCTGTTTTCCCTCTGCCCCCACTCCCACATTATAGCCAGATGCTCACTACTGCCTCCTGTGCACTAGGATCTTTTTAACCAAACATTTCAAGTATATGGGCTATTTCTCAAACTGGGTTCCACAGGGTTCCTGAGGTCCCAGGAAGGTGTCTCATGGGAAGTGAGAGTCATTCAAGGGGAACTCTGAGCATGTGAGTCTCCAGGTGCTTCATCATCAGTTCAGACAGAACTCTGTTTACCTGTCTTACTCGTGGGATTCCTCACAAAATTCTGATGCAAAAAAAGTTCTCCTGATAAGTCAAAAAACTCCTGCTACCCATAGGATACTGACCCATCAGTCTTCTACACTCCAAAACTCTCTATATTTTTATCAAGTACTCTGTCATTAATACTGCATCAGATATTTAAATTGTGTAATTTTACTTCATTTTCCTTCTACCTCTTCTGTCAATGTCCTAGTAAAATCAATGATCTCTCCTCCTCCTTTGGGTGGCACCCTGGCACGTCCTAGGGCCTTTTTTTTCAGGCATATAATTGGATGAATGGGGACTGGAAATGGGTGGGTATGTTGGCCAGCCATAGTCATGAGGGCTGGGTGGGACTCCCACTCACTGAGCACGCTGGCAGCAGCTGGCCAGAGTCATAATTAAAATCAGCTTTGCTCCAGCTTTAGCATAAGGCTCAAAAGTGACAGTCAACAGTCCATGAGTCTGAAATATTCAGGCTAATGGGAAAGATATCTTAGACCCAAGTCTCTCAAAACCCATCACAGAGACAACAATCTAAACATCTAAATGTCCAACCGCCTATTCTCCTGCTTTAATTTACTCTGCAGAATATGTAGCATGCAAGCAGTGTTGCTCAGTTGGCCCCACTCCCACCAGGTAACATCCACTGGCTTGGAATCCCCACCAGTCAGTGTCAGCAGGCTGGATACTGCCTAAGATGACTGAGTTCCCTCGGGGAGGGGCAGCTACCATCACTGCAGCCCCAGTCAATCATTTGCTCCTGCCAGTGCCAGGGAACTGGATGGTTTGGATCAGGAGGAATTACCCACAGTGCAGCGCAGTGGCTGTGGCAGATCATGGCCAGACAGCTTCTTTAAGTGGCACCCAAATCCACCCCTCATCATTGGGTGAGCCTGCCCTGCAGGAATTCCAGCAACTCCAGCCAGGAGTATACAGATAGAACTCTTTATCTCCCTGGGATGGAGCCCCTGTGAGGAGAGGCAGCTGAGGTCTCCACAGTTCAGCCAACTTAGTCTCTCCTGCCTGCTGACTCTGGAGAGTTCGAACAGTCTGGATAAGGGAGGTTCCCCCCAATGTAGTGCACCCACTCTGCTAAGGGGCAGCCCAGACTGCTTCTTTAAGTGGGTCCTTGATCCTGTTCCTCCTGACTGGGTGAGACCTTCCAACAGGGGTTGCCACTTACCTCATACAGGAGTGTTCTGGCCGGTATTAGGTCAGTGTGCCTCTGGGACAGAGCTCCCAGAGGAAGAAGCAGGCTGCCATCTTTGCTGTTCTGTAGCCTCCACTGGTGATACCTCCATGTTAAGAAGGGACTCAGGCAAATAGGGTCTGGAGTTGACTCCCAGCAAACTTCAGCGGTGCTACAGAAGAGAGGCCTGACTGCTAAAAGAAAAACAATGAAATAGAAAGCAACAACACCAACATCAACAAAATGACCCACAAAAATATCCCATCCAAAGGTAAGCAGCCTCAAAGTTTGAAGGTATATAAACCCACAAAAATAAGAAAGAATCAATGCAAAAATGCTGAGAACTCAAAAAGCCATAGTTCCTCTTCTCCTCCAAAGGATTGAAACATCTCTCCAGCACGGGAACAGAACTGGGCTGAGGCTGAGATGGACGATTTCATACAAGTATGCTTTAGAAGGTGGGTAATAATGAACTTCGCTGAGCTAAAGGAACATGCCCTAACCCAGTGTAAAGAAGCTAAGAACCATGATAAGACATTACAGATACTAATAACAAGAATAACCAGTTTAGAGAGGAACATAAATTACCTGATGGAGCTGAAAAATACAACTTGAGAACTTCACAATGCAATCACAAATGTCAATAGCTGAATAGACCAAGTGGAGAAAAGAATCTAAGAGCTTAAAGACTATCTTGCTGAAATAAGACAGGCAGACAAGGCTAGAGAAAAAAGAATGCAAAGGATCAAACAAAACCTCCGAGAAATGTGGGATTATGTAAAAGACTGAACCTATGACTGAGTGGGGTACTTGAAAGAGATGGGTAGAATGGGACCAAGTTGGAAAACATACTACAGGATATCATGCAGGATAATTTCCCCAACATAGCAAGACAGGCCAACATTCAAATTCAGGAAATCCAGAGAACCCCAGTAAGATACTCCATGAGAAGTTCAACCTCAAAACACATAATCATCAGATTCTCCAAAGTCAAAATGAAAGAAAAAAAAATTAAGGGCAGCCAGAGAGAAAGACCAGGTCACCTACAAAGGGAAGCCCATCAGACTAACAGTGAACCTCTCAGCAGAAACCTTACAAGCCATAAAATATTGGGTGCCAATACTCAACATTCTTATAGAAAGAATTTCCAACCCAGAATTTCACTTCTGGACAAATTAAGCTTCGTATGTGAAAGAGAAATAAAATTCTTTTCAGACAAGCAAATCCTGAGGGAATTTGTCACCGCCAGGCCTGCCTTGCAAGAGCTCCTGAAGGAAACATTAAATATGCAAAAGGAAAACTATTACCAGCCATTGCAAATGCACACTGACGTTCACAGACAGATGACACTATGAAGCAACTACATAAACAAGTCTGCAAAATAACCAGCTAGAATCATGATGACAGGATCAAATTCACACATAACAATATTAACCTTAAATGTATATGGGCTAAATGCCCGAATTAAAAGACACAGAATGGCAGGCTGGATACAGTCAAGCCTCTTTTGGTGTGCTTTATTCAAGAGACCCATCTCACATGCAAAGACACACATAGGCTCAAAATAAAGAGATGGAGGAAATCTTACCAAACAAATGGAAAACAGAAAAAAGCAGGGGTTGCAATCCTAGTTTATGACAAAACAGACTTTAAACCAACAAAGATCACAAAAGACAAAGAAGAGCATTACATCACAGTAAAGGGTTCAATTCAACAAGACGAGCTAACTATCCTAAATATATATGCACCCAACATAGGAGCACCAGGACTTATAAAACAAATTCTTAGAGACCTACAAAGAGACTTAGACTCCCACACAATGATAGTGGGAAGCTTTAACACCCCACTGTCAATATTAGGCAGATCATCAAGACAGAAAATTAACAAGGATATTCAGGACCTTAACTCAACTCTGGATCAAGTAGACCTGATAAGATATTTACAGAAATGTCTCCCCCAAAACAAGAGAATATACATTCTTCTTGGTGCCACATGACACTTCCTCTAAAATTGTTCACATAATTGGAAATAAAACACTCCTGAGCAAATAACAGTCTCTCAGACCTCAGTGCAATCAAATTAGAATTCAAGATTGAGAAACTCACTCAAGGCCGGGTGTAGTGGCTCACACCTGTGATCCCAGCACTTTGGGAGGCCGAGGCGGGCGGATCATGAAGTCAGGAGATCAAGATCATGGTGAAACCCCATCTCTACTAAAAATTTAAAAAATTTAGCCGGCTGTGGTGGTGGGTGCCTGTAGTCCCAGCTACTCAGGAGGCTGAGGGAGGAGAATGGCATGAACCCGGGAGGTGGAGCTTGCAGTGAGCTGAGATGATGCCACTGCACTCCAGTCTGGGTGACAGAGCAAGACTCTGTCTCAAAAAAAAAAAAAAAAGAAACTCACTCAAAACCACACAACCACATGCACACTGAACAACCTGCTTCTGAATGACTCCTGGGTAAATAATGAAATTAAGGCAGAAATCAAGAAGTTCTTTGAAACTAATGAGAACAAAGAGACAACAAACAGCATCTCTGGGAGGCAGCTAAAGCAGTGTTAACAGGGAAATTTATAGCACAAAATGCCTACATCATAAAGCTAGAAAGATCTCAAATCAACATCTGAACATCGTAACTAAAAGAACTGGAGAAATAAGAGCAAACAGACTCCAAAGCTAGCAAAAGACAAGAAATAACTGAGATCAGAGTAGAACTGGAGACAGAGACACGAAAAAACCTTCAAAAATCAATGAATACAGGAGCTGGGTTTTTTTGAAAAAATTAATAAAGTAGACCACTAGCTAAACCAATACAGTGCAAAAAAGAGAAGAATAAATAGACACACTTAGAAATGATAAGGTGATATCACCACTGACCCCACAGAAATGCAAACAACCACCAGAGAATACTATAAACACCTCTATGCAAATAAACTAGAAAAATCTAGAAGAAATGGATAAATTCCTGGATGCATACACCCTCCCAAGATTGAACCATTAAGAAGTTGAATCCCTGAATAGACTAAGAGCAAGTTCTGAAATTGAGGCAGTAATAAATAGCCTACCAACCAAAAAAAAAAAAAAAAAAAAAAAAGAAAAAGAAAGAAAGAAAGAAAAAAAACAGGACCGGATGGATTTATAGCTGAATTCTACCAGAAGTACAAAGAGGAGCTGTTACTATTTCTTCTGAAACTATTCCAACAACTGGAAAGGAGGGACTCCTCTCTAAATCATTCTATGAGGCCAGCATCATCCTCATACGAAAACCAGGCAGAGATACAACAACAAAAAAAGAAAACTTCAGTCCAATATCCCTGATAAACATCAATGCAAAAATCCTCAATAAAACACTGGCAAACCAAATCCAGCAGCACATCAAAAAGCTTTTCCAGCATGAACAAGTTTGCTTCATCCTTGGGATGCAAGGTTGGGTTCAACATACACAAATAAAAAAACATGATTTATCACATAAACAGAACTAAAGACAAAAACTACATTATTAGCTCAATAGATGCAGAAAGGCCTTCAATAAAATCCAGAATCCCTTCATGTTAAAACCTCTTAATAAACTAGGTATTGAAGGAACATACCTCAAAATAATAAGAGCCATTTATGACACACCCACAGCCAATATGATACTGAATGGGCAAAAGCTGAAAGCATTCCTTTTCAAAAACAGCACAAGACTAGGATGCCCTCTCTCACCACTCCAGTTCAACATAGTATTAGAAGTTAGGGCCAGGGCAATCAGGGAAGATAAAGAAATAAAGGATATTCACATAGGAAGAGAGAAAATCAGATTGTCCTTGTTTGCAGACGATATGATCCTATAGCTAGAAAACCCCATTGTTTCAGTCCTGAAGCTTTTAAGCTGATAAGGAACTTCAGCCAAGTCTCAGGATACGAATTCAATGTGCAAAAATCACAACCAGTCCTATACACCAGCAACAGACAAGCAAAGAGCCAAATCATGAATGCATTCCCACTCACAAGTGCTACAAAGAGAATAAAATACCTAGAAATATGACTAACAAGGGAAGTCAAGGACCTCTTCAAGGAGAACTACAAACCACTGCTCAAGTAAATCAGAGGAGACAAAAAGAAATGGAAAAACATTCCATGCTCATGGATAGGAAGAATCAATATCATTAAAATGGTGATACTGTCCAAAGTAATTTATAGATTCAATGCTATTACCATGAAACTACCATTGACATTCTTCATAGAATTAGAAGAAAACTATTTTAAAATTCATATGGAACCAAAATTAGCCGTATAGCGAAGACAATCCTAAGCAAAAAGAACAGGGCTGAAGGCATCACATTACCTAACTTCAAACTATATTACAAGGCTACAATAACCAAAGCAGCATAGTACTGGTACGAAAACAGATAAATAGACCAAAGGAAAAGAATAGAGAACTCAGAAATAAGACCACACATCTACAATCATCTGATCTTTGAAACCTGGCAAAAACAAGCAATGCGAAAATAATTACCTATTTAATAAATGGTTCTGGGAGAACTGGCTAGCTATATGCAGAAAATTCAAACTGGACCCGTTCCTCACACCTTTTACAAAAATTAACTCAAGATGGATTAAAGACTTAAATGTAAAACCCAAAACTATAAAAACCCTAGATGAAGATCTAGGCAGTACCATACAGGTCATAGGTACGGGCAAAGATTTCATGATGAAAACATCAAAAGCAATTGCAACAAAAGCAAAAATTGACAAATGGGATCTAATTAAACTAAAGAGCTTCTGCACAGAAAAAAAAAAGAAACAATCATTAGAGTGAACAGACAACCTACAGAATGGGAGAAAATTTTGCAATCTAGCCATCTGTCAAAGGTCTAATATCCAGAGTCTACAAGGAACTTTACAAAAAAAAAAAAAAAACCATTAAAAAGTGGACAAAAAACATGAACAGAAATTTCTCAAAAGAAGACATACATGCGGCCAACAGACATATGAGAAAAAGCTCAGTATCACTGATCATTAGAGAAATGCAAATGAAAACCACAATGAGATACCATATCATTCCAGTCAGAATGGCCATTACTAAAAAGTCAAAAAACCACAGATGCTGGCAAGGTTGCAGGGAAATAGGAAAACTTTTACATCATTGGTGGTTACTTCAACCATTGTGGAAGACAGTGTGGTGATTCTTCAAATACCTAGAACCAGAAATACCATTTGACCCAGCAATTCCATTACTGGGTATATACCCAAAGGAATATATGTCATTCTGTTATAAACATACATGCATGTGTATGTTCATTGCAGCACTATTCACAATAACAAAGACATGGAATCAACCCAAATGCCCATCAATGATAGACTGGATAAAGAAAATATGGTACATATATACCATGGAATACTATGCAGCCATAAAAAGTAACAAAATCATGTCCTTTGCAGGGACATGGATGGAGCTGGAAGCCATTATCCTCAGCAAACAAACTCAGGAACAGAAAACCAAACACTGTATGTTCTCACTTATAAGTGGGAGCTGAACGATGAGAACACATGGACACATGGAGAGGAACAGCACACACTGGGACCTGTCAGGGGTGGGGGAAAGGAGGGAGTACATTAGGAAAAATAACTAATGCAGGCTGGGCTTAACACCTCAGTGACGTGTTGACAGGTGCAGCAAACCACCATGGCACACGTTTACCCATGTAACAAACCTGTACATCCTGAATATGAACCCCAGAACTTAAAATAAAATTTAAAAAAGAATATGTGGCACCTTTTACCCGTTGCATACACTCTACACTAAATATTATTGAACATCGCCAGTTACTCTTCTTCTAAATAAAAATATCAGCAACACTTACAGACTGTAAATGAAGTATTACAATGTTCCTTGAAAAAAAAGTTCTAAATCTTATGATTAAACAATAATTAAATAACCTAAAAGAGTTTCATGG